CATCACCATCACCACCATCGTCATCATCATGATCATGATCAACATCATCATCATCACCATCACTATCATCATCATTATCATCATCATCACCATCACCATCACCATCATCACCATCATCATCATCATCATCATCATCATCATTATCAGCGTCGTTGTCAACACCACCACCATCATCAACATCATCGTACTACTCCTCGTTGTCATTATCGCCGTCATTGTCATCATCATCACCATCATACCATCATCATCACCATCATCATCGTCATCATCGTCATCACAATGAGCTTCATCACCATCATCATCACCATCACCATCATCATCCTCACCATCATCATCGCCAATGCCATCATCGTCATCGTCATCGTCCGGCATCATCGTCACCATTGTCTTTGCCATCACCATCCGGCATCATCGTCATCACCATGTTCAGCAGTATCATTACCACCATCATCACCACCACCATCATCATCAACATGACCATCCCCATCATCATCATCATCATCATCATCATCATCATCATCAGCATAATCATCACCATCACCATCACCAACATCACCATCATCACCATCATCATCATCATCATTGCCATCACCAACATCATCATCGCAATCATCATCATCATCATCATCATCATCGTCAGCATCAGCACCATAACCGTCATCATCGTTATCGTTATCTTCACCGTCATCGTCATCACCATCGCCAGTATCAGCATCGTCGTCGTCATCACAATCATCATCATCAACGTCATCGTAGTACTCCTCGGTGTCTTCATCGTTGCCAATCATCACCATCATCATCACCATCATTACCACCATCATCATCATACTCAGCATCATCGTCACCATCATCATCATCATCATCGTGAGCATCAGCACCATCACCGTCATCATCATCGGCATCGTCATCGTCGTCGCCATCATCATCGTCATTGTCATCCTCATCGTCATTGTCATCGTCATCGCCATTGTCATCGTCATCGTCATCTTTATCTTCATCTACATGATCATCACTATCATCATCATTACCATCACCACTACCATCATCATAATTATTATCAGCATCACCATCATTATCATCATCATGATTATCATCGTCATCGTATCGCATCATCATCACTGCCCTCACCATCACCATCACCATCATTATCATAATCGTCTTCGTCACCGTCATCGTCATCGTCATCGTCATCATCATCGTCATCGTAATCATCACCATCACCATACTCATCATAATCTTCATCACCATCACCACCATCTCCAGAACGATCACCATTACCATCATCCCCTTTCCCATCATCATCACCATCAGCATCACCATCACAATCGTCATCAGCATCATCATCGTCATCAACCCCATCATCATCATTATCATTATCATCGTTATCGTCATAGTCATGAGCATCATCATCATCGTCATCATCACCATCTCCATCACCATCACCATCATCATCATCATCACCACCATCATCATCACCACCATCATCATCACCATCACAGTCAGCATCATCACCATCACCATCACCATCATTCTCGTAATCGTCTTCGTCACCGTCATCGTCATCGCCAGCATCATCGCCATCTTGATTGCTTTCGTCATCTTCATCGATATCGTCATCGTCATTATCGCCATCACCATCATCGTCATCATCACCATCACGATCACCATTATCACCATCGCCATCACCATCGTCATCACTACCATCATCACCATCACCATCTCCATCACCATCATTACCATCATCACTATCACCATCACCGTCACCATCGTTATCGTCATCATTCTCGTCTTCATCGTCATTATACTCGTCATCGGCCTCGTTATCGTTATCGTCATCATCACCGTCACTAGCATCATCATCATCACCACCATCACCATCACCATCATCATCATCATCATCACCATCATAATATCAATCATCAGCATCATCATCATCATCATCATCATCATCATCATCTTCGACATCGACATCATCATCACCATCATCATATGCATCATCAGCAGCATTTTCACCACCATCATCATCACCACCACCACCATCATCATCATCATCATCATCATCATCACCATCATCATCATCATCATCATCATCGTCATCATCGTTATGGTCATGGTCATGGTCATGGTCATGGCCATGGTCATGGTCATGGTCATCAGCATCGTCATCGTCATCGTCATCGCTATCATCGTTGCCATCTGGTCGCTGTCGGCCAATCCCGCTACCGTCCTTGGGTCGTGGACGCGATGCTGTGGGGCCCCTGTGGGGCCTCTTGGGGGCCCGCAGGGGGTCTCAACGGGGGCCTCTTGGGAGCCTCTTGGGGGGCTCTGGGGACCTCCCGGGGGCCATCTTTGGGTGGATGACTCCAAGTTCCAGTTCGAGCCTCTTGGGGACCTCGGGGGGCCTCTTGGATGGGTCTTGGGGGCCTCTTGGGCCGTATCGGAAACGCACCTAGAAGATCAAAAGTTGAGCACGCGAACATCATACAAACCAATCGTTTTC